TATATATTATATATATATTTTTTTTATAAATATGTATTTCTTTTTACTGACGGTTGTTTATGTTTTTCTAAGACAATTTTTCTTTACACAGTTTAATACATATTTATTTTGTATTTGGCAACAAACGACGTACATTATTTTCACAAATAATAACATTAAGTTTCTCAACAATTGTTTATTTCGAGATTTTGGTTCCCTTTCTTTTGTATAAAAAAGAATTATACAGTACGAAATCACTCTACAACTATTTCACATTGATAATGTTCAGTTTGCTTTATGTACAAATATAAAATCTACATCAATAAAGTCTTTTCAATCATACCGAATCCACAGATGTAAAGATAAGTCGAAGCGAAGAAGAACGCTTTCGTACATAGGAATCGATAAGTATTCCTAAAAAGCAATTTGTTCTTCTAATCGAAACACCCTAGCTACACGAGATGTTTCACGTAAACGGCGTGAATTCCAAAGTTGCTATGAAAAACTTCTGCACCTACATCTGCTCCTTTCAGAGCACATTTTTTCTTTTCTTTTCTTTTTTTTTTTTTTTTTTTTTTTTGTTTATTCGCTGTTACATTTCTCAACTTAAACTGTGATTCGTACGGAAGTGTTAGATACGTGATAAATCAGTTTCCGATTGCGTCTATTTAAAAAATATTTTCACTTGAGGCATCACAACGGTATATATTTACTTCTTACGCGAATAATTCAACTTATTTCTAGAAAATTCATTGCAGCAACTTAATAGCATGAAAACTTTGGTAAAGGAACTCTGTACTGGTCGTGTTAAACATTAATAGAGCTAAAGTAGCAGATGGCATAATTCGACACGTCTTATTTATCACTGCTGCGATAGTTTATATATTATTACGATTCTTTCGTTTCCTGATGGCGTATTTTCGTTCAAATATCTCTCAAAACGATGTTCTCAGAAACCGAGATAATGGCTGTCAATATTAATCGTTACTTGCTACACTAATATCCAAGGAAACAGTCTTATGAACACTTTATGACTATACCTTATTTTAATAGAAAGAACCTCCGATATAAACGAGAAATTCAAAAGCAGAAATAGTTTATAACGCACCGTGATTTAGTAAAAACGTTTTCTACTGTTCTCTTGATGTTTCTGGTACCACATAATGCCTATCACGACACAGGCGATTAATGCCAACGCGCCCACGAGCATTAAAAGGAAAAACATTATTCTACTTAATGCAGATTGTTTTGGATCGTCTATGTGCTCTGTAAAAATAATAATAAAAATCTGAAAGATGCAAGTATCGTTTGTCGTATGCATTTCGTTTACTTTTTCGTTGCATTACCTCGCGGTGCGTCGAAATATGCAGCTGACGGTAAAATATTGGACCTATCTTCTTGATCTTTAGGCTGAAATAGATTGCGGTAGACTATCGTAACGAACGATACTTATTAAAAAGATAATAGACATATAAAAAGATAATGCTTACATCGTCTGGTAGGTCTAGTTCAAATAAACGAATAGATAAAATATCATGATTATCGGATAAATCTCCCGTTGTAGCCGAAATTCCGAAAAAATAGCTTGTAGGCAGTTTAATGTCTTTTACAGAAAAACACTCCTTCCATGCAGCTTTGTTTGCAAAGTCTGTGGAAACTGTAGTAAAAAAAAATTAGCATTGAAAAACATTTTGCACAAACACTTTATCTTTATTCTACATCTTTTTAAACTACCCTATTCCATGCTTACCCAAAATAAAAAACAATTAAAACTTATATATAAAGTTAATTAAATCTAACACATAAGCAGATATTTTTATACATTTATTTCATAAAATTTCATGCAAATTTTTCAGCTGCTCTTTAAACACAGGTATCACAGTTTATGATGAATTAATGGTAATATATTTTTTAATAATGGTATGTCAAAAGAAACAAAATGTAAGGGTGATAGATAATGCATGAAAAGATGGAGAAAATACCACTTGCTGAAGTGGAGGCACTCCATGATGAAAGCCAAGAGGCCTCAGGATAAGACCTTACTGTAATATTAATTTATAGAATACCACATGAAATAATATAATACATAGAAAGCACAACTATAAATATCTTTTATCTACATCAAAGAAATTGTACATGTATGTATATGTTAATTATGTTCACAATAACTGCTGCCATTAAGAAAGTTACCGTTGAGAAGAAGAAAATATTGAAAGACTTGTCGATGATACATGTGAGCGAGTGAATATTACACACAGTTATATGATAAAATTTTTGCATTCCTAGAAATATTGTATACCTGTACACACTTACCAGTTAGTGTATCTCTTTCATATCGTACAGCAACATGTGTGTCATGTTCTAAATTTCTAAAATTTGCTTCACAACCTGCAATTTGTGTATGTGTTCCATCACGATCATGATCATAATGTAAGGAACCATTATTGACCATGGCAGAAATATACGGATGTTGGTGCTACAAAATTCAAATTTATCATTATAACTTTGATAGTTTTACTCCATGATGAAACACATGTTACTCTTACATACATTATGTGGGCCATTGTGGTTACTGTAAGTGTCTAAGATTATGGCTAATCCTTGGAAATAATCTTGATTTCCAAACACAGGACCTGTTCTCATTCTTTCTTTTGCATACCAAATAACAAAACCATCACCAAATAAATCTCTTCCCTTTCCATGGACTTTAAAATGAACTTGAACCTCCCAATTTCTTACATGACATGGCTAAGTGAATAGATGCAAGGAAAGCATTTCTATTAGAGTTTAATTACATTAACTTCATAGTTTTATCAAAAAAATGTCTTATTTATTCAGATATGTGTATAAAAAAAGTAATATCACTTTTTCTTATCATTTGTAGTTTATAAAGCTGCAAAACAGCTTCAAACTTACAACAGAATTCCATATGGCACCTTGTTTACTTTGTTGGTCTGGTGTTATTCTTACGTAGTTATTTGTTACCATTGTACTACCCATAAAATCCCAATAAGGTATAATCATTCCAGATCCTAAACATATAATAGACATTTATGTAACCTGTTTCCATTAATGCTACTAAATAAGTTAAAGCGATATCTTGTCCTTGTTATAATTAAATTCATTGCTCGATTAAAAAGAGAAATACAAAGAATTGATATTTTTTAAAGAAAGGGGATTATGTTATTGTAACATATCATCGTATCTGTCATAGAGCACGGTGGTATTTGTTTCACTTAAAATGCAAAAAATTTACACGTCATAGCACTTCATACTAGCAAACGTATTAACATAAACGAATCCAAAATTCACAAACCTTGATATGGTCTGATCAAAGAATGTTCTCGTTTCATATAGTCTTTTGTGTTCCATTCTGCTGCTACTAATTCCAACACACTTACAATTAATACCCAACACGATATCACGTTCATTTTATATATTTCATACGGATACAACGATAGAACTATCAATACTAATTTTTAGGTTGTTATCTCCGATGATTACGACGCGAAATCTGCAAAAGCTACTACCGGAATCATCATCGCATTGTCTTCGATACCTTGAAATTAGTTATTCTAGCAATGTAGCCAGTAGTAAAAGTCAAAATATACCTTAAAAGTATATCTAGGAAGTTTTATCGAAAGCAGTTGTTATGTGGCTCATGTGGCGCCCTGTATTGTGAAATCTAAAGCGCGCCGAATTCAAATTGCGCCGCTACGTATAGAAACATTGCTGAGGTGTAAAGCACTCGCTTCTAAAGGAAATATGTATTAATAAACAAATGCGAGGTACCAATAAAATTTATCCTCAAATAATCTTTGAGGATAAGATTCAACGTTACATTTCCTCATTCGTTAAATTTCCTAAACAAGATAATTCCCTCACATTCCCCAAGAATCCGCGCAACACAGTTAATGTTGCCTTGCGTATCTAGTGACATAAAGTAGCGTATGCAGTATTGCATAAAAATTATGTCACACTATAAACAAACTAAGGAAACGCGATTCAAATTTTTTAATTAATATCATTCAATTTTCTTTATAATTTCATCGAAGGTTTTTCTTTTTTAATTATCAACATTTCTACATATATTTCTATATATATTCTTTGAAATTGATCTAAATCAATCGTTCAGATTTGCAAATGGAAATATCACGTTACGCAAATCGCACGATATGTTGATAAATCAGAAACGAGTCCTAAATCTCAATGCACTGTTTTTTATCGAGTAGGTATTTCATACAAAGAACGCTAGCGAGCAACGATAGCAGCGCCTCGTCGTAATCGTGTTCATCGTGTTATTTGTCAACGGAATTTACCGCTACTACGGAGAGAATAGGGTAAAGGGACCGGTGTCGTGAGTGTGTACGTACGCTAGCGTACGGCATCGACGCTTTTTCGTCGTGAACGCGTAAATATTTATCGAATCTCCGTTTGGTGTTACATAAAAACCTTAATCGAATTATAAAGCCTGAGAAAGAGAGAATTGGCGATTCGTAAAAGGACGATAAATTTGTATGGGTTGCCCAGTACTCGTTTCGAAGTGATCTCTTGGCGCGTGCGTTTACGATTTACGAAATTAAGCGGCGGAATACATGGCGTCCCGTGTCTTTCACGTACGCTAAATCTCGAGTTGTACGATACATTGTTGCATGGTTCCTGGTTTCGTTTGGTATTCTATAATCAGGCGTGTTGTAATGTCGTGAATGTGTTGCGGAGGAAACACGAGAGACAAAAATAGAGAGATAAAAGATATATATACGTATCTGTGTGTAAAAGCGGAAGCAAAGTACAGACAGATTCCGTGACTAAACGACCGGGGGCTTGTTGCATTTACGCGGAGGGGGGGAGGCGAGTACGGTTTAAAGAAAAAGGGCGTGGAAAGGATTGAACGAGTTAATAGGCAGGACGTAAACGTACGCTAACATACTATGGGTAAGACGCCAAAGAAGGCGGCCCCTGGGGGCGATGAGAGGAATTTGTACAAACGGAGACTCAAGGCAACGACCGCGCCGTCGAATCCTTCCGAAACTAGCTTGCACAAGAGACACAGGTTTGTAAAAGCAATTAGCCCAAAATGAACGGCAAGTTTATCCACAGTTTCTCTGTTTAGTCTGTCGCTGTTTAATGTTTCCCAGTCACTGATATTTTTCGTATGGTGTTTACATGTAAACGATTCGACGAATCTTTCTCTCGTCTTTTTACGTAGGCCGCACCAGTCGCCGGATAATATCGTTTCTTTCATCGTAAATTTTTCTTATCCCTAATGTACGAGGATAAAGCGGGGCAAATGTCATCCAATTTTTACGACAGATAACCGGAGATATTTTCAGACGTTTCGTATATTATAGACACTTTGTTATATTTTTCTAAAATTGGTCAAATTGGAGAACGCGTTACGAATGTAATTCAAAACGAATGGGCAAACAGAAG